GCTTCACTCAATCTCTTAGATTGGGGCCTGTCTAGCAAGCATCAAATGGTCGTTCAAATTTTCTTTATTTTCTTGGTCACGTTTTTCTCCCTCAAATAAATTGTACCGTTTTTGTCACGTGAATTTGAGAATAAATTGACAACCAGCTTAAAAAAAAAAAAAAAAAAAACTAATTTTGATAATATAAATAAATAAAAAAGATGTTGCAACAAAGACAACTAAAATGATTCCTTAAAAAAAACACGCACACAAGGACAACTGAACGCGGGGAGATATGTAACTAAAAATTAATAACAGAAACAGGATTGGCCAGACTGGCATTGCCACGTGGCAATCAATGGAAGGGCTTGGTCCTCCCTTCCCAACACCTATAAACAAGCCGCTGTATCCTCTCCTCCACGACTGTAAGCTGTCTGCGATCTCTCTATCTCTCAATATTCTTAATCTCATCTGCATTGCTCGCTGGCGCCGTTTCTTCATCTTCAATCTTCATCATTTTTGGATTTTGTTGCTATTCTCTAAACATTTTTTTTTGTAGATTTGCATTGCAAAACTCTCCTCCATTACTCTAAAACCTTCTGACGCCATTGATCTTGCGATATCGATCGTTTTCGTATATTTTTTTTTTTTTACTTTTCATTGTTGCAATCATCGTCGATCGGTTTCTTCTTCTTCTTCTGATGGACTTTGAATCTCTTTCGAATCTGTAGAGAGAGAGAAAGAGATGTTGCAGAGAGCTGCTAGTAATGCGTATTCATGGTGGTGGGCCAGTCACATCAGGACGAAGCAATCGAAATGGCTCGAACAGAATCTCCACGGTATGTTCGCACTTTAATTCATTTGAATTAGGTTTTTGCATCTGCATTCTTGATTCAAGCCTGTCGATTATGAATCTCTGTGTTTTTCTCCTTTTTCTTTCGTTTTACTCAACGAACATTGATTTTAGGTTCGAGATTATCTTACGTCTAACGAGGTCTTAGGGTTTCCAATCTGGAGTTTGTATTGAATGAATACTTTGCTCTTGCAATCCACGCTCTGTTCCTAAATTGTAGTAGTTTCGGCGTACTGATTCAATCGGATAGGAATTACCTGTATTTTGATTCGTTTTTTTGCGCTATCTGAGATCAATGTTGCAAATCATTAGCTGCTAGTTCTTTAAAACGATCTTTGGACTGATCGATTATGCTTCTGGAACTATAGATATGGAGGAAAAGGTTGAAAACATGATGAGAATCATTGAAGGCGATGGCGATTCTTTCGCAAAAAGAGCTGAAATGTACTATAGGAAGAGGCCTGAACTTGTAGAACACGTAGAAGAATCCTTTAGGGCATACCGAGCTTTAGCAGAGAAATACGAGCATCTTTCGAAAGAGTTTCAAGGGGCAAATCGAATGATAGCTTCGATCTTCCCAGAACGAGTTCATTACACGATTGATGATGACGATGATGATTGTGAGGTAGATTTCTTTTCTCGAGAATCTTTCGGTGGCAAAGGTCCTAACCAGTTTGAATCGGGTGCCTCACCAAAACTAGGAGTACCAGAAGTTCCAAAGTTTCCCGAGAAGGGGTTTTCTAGGAGTCCTTCGATGATGAGAAAAACAAAACTCAAGAGAAACGCAAGCAGTGCTAGTAGTAAAGCTGCTTCAACTCCAAAATCAGGGCTTACCAAGGATGAAGCTCTAGAAGAAATCAGTAAGCTACATAAAGAAATTCTAGCTCTTCAAACCGAAATGGAATTCGTTAAGAGCTTGTATGAACGCGAGGGCGAAAGATATTGGGACATGGAAAACAGTATCACACAAATGCAAAAAAGAATCAGTAGCTTACAGGATGAGTTCGGCATTGGCTCGATTATCGAAGATAACGAAGCTCGAACGTTAATGGCTACCACAGCTCTGAACGCCTGCCGAGAATCTCTAAGTAGGTTGCAAGAAGAACAGGAGAAAACAGTTGAAGAAACAAAACTAGAGAATGGCAGAATCAAGAAAGTGGTTAAAGATTTTGAGAGTCTCAAATGTAAGTTCATATCAAACCCAACAGAGAATCATGAATCCATTGATTTACAAGAAGATTTAAGCATTGAAACAGAATTGACAACCTCAAATCAACTGGCCGCTTGCACAGCTGAAAACAAACATGATATACAGCTTCTAAGTCAGAAGATCAGAGAGTATCTGGAAATGAATTCAAATAGCTCATTCACCATTTCTGAATTGGCTGAGAAAATCGATGAACTTGTAAACAAGATTGTCACACTTGAAACTACAGTTTCTTCTCAGACATCTCTTGTTAGACGACTTAAATCAGAAACAGATGAACTCCAAGCAAACGTCCAACAATTGGAACAAGAAAAGGAGATTCTTGTGGAGAATTCAGAGACCATGAAGAAGAAGATACAAGAATTGGAGGCCGAATTAGCCAGAGTTAACAATCTAAATCAGAATGTTCAAATACAGAACAACAATCTTCAAACCGAGTTCACCGAAGCGAGTTGTAATCTCGATCACTTATTTGGTAAATTACAGACAATGGAAATGAATGAGGCTGACAATTCTGAGTTCATACAAGATGTAATGATGGTTGATCCTGATGTGAAAACAACAACGTTTTCAACAGATACAGGATTGAAACTGGGAGAGATTCCAAGCATTGCAGCTGAAGAAGCAGCTAAGGAATCAATACATGAGGAAGAACATGAAAGATCCAAGGCTCAAACAGATGATACTCATGATTTGGAGGAAGAAAAGCATCCGACCTTGAGGCAGATGTTCTTGAAAGGATTAGAAGACAGAGAAAAGATTTTACTGGAGGAGTATACATCAGTGCTGAGGGACTACAAAGATGTAAGAAACAAGCTAAGCGAAGTCGAACAGAAGAATCGCGACAGCATCTTCGAGTTGGCGATGCAGGTTAAAGAACTAAAAGATGCCATTTCCACCAAAGATGATGTTATAAAATCATTAGTGAATAATGCAGATATAGATGAAGAAACTAATGCAAGAGATGAGGAGCGGGAACAGGAGCAGGATCAGGAGCTGGAGCAGTCCCAAGAAACCATTCATGAGGCTCCTAGCTCCTTGTACTCCGAATCCTCAAGTCCATACTTAGAACAAGTTTCGACTCCCGATTTCTACGGCAAACCGAGCGCCGATTCCACAGAAGAAAGCTACAAATTGTTGAGAAATGCAAGCTTACCAAGAAAAGAGACAGCAAAGAGGAAAGCAAGGAGTGTGAGTAGTAAATCCATTATCATCATGTCACCTATGGAAGAACGAATCCGCTCGCATATCGACGGACAACTAGAGATGAATCTCGAATTCTGGCTGCGATTCAGCACGGCAGTTCATCAGATTCAAAAGTTCCAGACTTCAATCCAAGACCTTCAAGCAGAGCTGCAAAAGTTAAGAGAAGACATGCTAGAAGGAAGTGTGAAACATCAACAGTCGTCGATCGAATCCGACGCTCGACCTATCTACACACACCTAAGAGAGATCCAAACTGAACTATCCCTCTGGTTGGAACATAGCGCAGTATTGACAGATGAAGTAAGCAGCCGATACAAATCCTTAACCGACATACAAAACGAAATATCAAGAATCACAGAAGAAGAATCAAGTGAAGAAGGATCAGAAATGAACGATTATCAAGCTGCAAAGTTTCAAGGTGAAGTTCTCAACATGATACAAGAAAACAGGAAGATTGCTGATGAGTTAGAAGTCGGTCAGGATCGAGTTCGAGCTCTACAAGCTCAAATCGAGAAGTCTTTACTAAGACTTGATCAAGAATTTGGCATTTCAGCAGACAAGAGCATTCAATCTGAATCGAAAGCGTTGACCCGAACCCGAATTCCTTTACGATCGTTCTTGTTCGGGATCAAGTTAAAGAAGCAAAAGCCATCGCTGTTCTCGTGTGCAAGTCCACAACTAGAGAAACAATACAGTGATCTAGCTAAAGGGCCGCTACCTCAGTGATGAGCTTTCAGGACATGAAGTAAAGAAGCTTCAATTACAGGTACACAGTAGCTATACATTTATTACCTTTCATTGTTGAACAATATAACCTTCCAAATTTGAGTATTTCAATTGTGATTTTGTACAGAAAGGTAAACAAAGAAGGTTTTAGAAGTAAGGCTGGAAAAATTAATGTTCATTCTTGGTTGCTGTATAATTTACTATTTACACCTGTTATTATCATCATGCTTGTGGATCTTCGCTCATGAAAAATTAATGTTCATTCTTTGTTTAGTCACGGAGTTGGCGCGTCATGTATCGCGGTTAGTCTCACGATTTTAAAACGCGTCAACTATAGAGAGAGTCTAGCCCTACTCCAACCAGTAGTCGCATTTTAAAACTGTGAGACTAATAGTGATATACTGAGCTCTCCCTAAGCTTTGTCCAAGTTCGCGCTTGGACCCACCTACCATTTTTTTTACACATGTGGGTATAATAATAGTCTTTCACATCTCTGTGGGTAAAAAAAAAAAATTAATAAAAATATTTTTGTTTTTATCCCAAAAAATAAATATATGAAAGATTCAATAATACCCTTAATTTTTTTAAAAAAATCTCAATTAATTTTGGATGGGAGTGGTTAGTATTTTAAATTTTTTTAATAATATTGTTTAACTTTTTAATTTATTACCTTTATAAAAAAAATAAAAAAATAAAACTTCTATTTTTGAAACTGGGTATGGTTAAATATATTTTTGAATTTTTTATAAAAAAAGTTTTTGGAGTAAAAAAAAAAAAAAAAAAAATCGTTCATGAAGTTTTAAAAAAGGTTTAAGCATAATAAAACTTTCTTAATGCCTTTTATTTTTGAAATAAAGTGTTATCTCCAAAATTAATTTACAAAATTATTGAAATATATTTTTGAAATTTTAAAAAAAATTTAAGAATATTTTTATTAGTTTAATCTAAAAAAATAATGTTTTTATTTTTATTATTTTTATTTTTTATTTTAAACGTGCCCGTTTTCAGAAGTGAAAACTTTTGGGCTCATTTTTGGGATCTTCTGAGCTCTGGTACTAAACCCTCTTCCTTCACTTCGTTCCAATTGGGACCAAAAACCCCGAAGTTGTGAATTTTTACCACCGGAATCTTTAATCATGTTGGCGATTTTCCGATCATCTCACCGGAAGATTCGATCTTACAGTAACTTCTTCACTCGTCGATTATGCTGCCGCCACAGTTCTCCTTCACGAAGCACAATCATCTCAACATCGCCCTTCACCAGGCCATTCGTTTCCGCTGCCAATCCCAAATCTCCCTTCGATGCCATCGCTCTCAGAGTACTTCGTAACGAGATTGAGTACCAGTCAAATTACGCTCCTCCTCATCAGGTTCACCGATTATTTTCTCTTCCTTTTCTCGATCCATTTCCTTGTCCTACATTTTGCAATTTGCAATTACGAATGTTTGCTTTAATTTTTTGCTGCGTAATCTTATAGCCTGCAACGAGATTCGGTGCATTTTCGGTTGAAGACCGACCGGGAATGCAGTGGATTACATTGAAAGGGAAATTTGGAGACACTGAAGATATTAAAATTGAAGCGACGATGTTTGATGGCTGTGAATCGGTTCCCAAACTTGGAGACGATAGCGATGGTGAAGAAGACCTTCGTCTTCACATTAGCGTGCTTGTTGACATTTCGAAGGGGGAAGGTTCTGAGGATTTGGAGTTTGTGTGCTCGGCATGGCCTGATTCTTTGGAGGTTCAGAAGCTATATGTTCTTAAACGAGATAGGACTCTTGCGAGACCCTACATGGGGCCTGATTTTCGGTATTGCTTATCTCAGATACTCAGTTTCTCGTTCCTTCTGTGATTTTGTTGTTGCTTCGCCCGCTTTTGTATGGTGATTACGAATCATTGACCATTTTGTTGTGAATTTGGATGTTCAATATGGCTGTCTAATTAAAATTTAACTTCAAATCTATCTGTTCTTAATAATGAATAGAACGATTCGCATATATTTAAAATGGTAATTGATGTTTTATTCTATGATCTATGCTCGGATTAGCTAAATATCATTCTTAAATTTTCTCTTACATCCTTTAGTATGAAATTATCAGCCACATTGTATTCTCGACCCACAATAATATTTGCAAAATTGGTTGGCTGGTATCACAATGCACAATTTAGTTCAGTGAAGTTAAGTTATAGGCTTGTTGGGCTCTAACTCCTTTGTTTACTAATGATACTTTTGGTATTTGTTAATTTCAGGAAATTGAGTGGCAAAATCCAGACGAAATTTCGGGAGTTCTTAGCAGAAAGGGGGATAGATAAGGAGCTCTCTATGTTTTTGCATGAATATATGATGAACAAAGACAGATGTGAACTTATTCGATGGCTGGGAATTGTCGAGTCGTTTGTGGAAAGATAAACCATACGCTTCATTGACAACATCGAACGCAGTTGTTACCATTTTTTAAGGTATTCAAGATTATGTTTTCTTCCTTTATATCGTCATTTGCAATAGCCGTAGTTCATGAATCATGATTAGTGTTAACATCTATGCAGTTTTATTTTTTGGGGATCATCTGTTAATAAAAAGCTGAGGGACCTGAGTGATTACAAACAAGTAGAACTTAGTGCCTTTGGTGATTACAAAAGGTTCTCTACCAGTTGGCTAAGAACACCCAAAAAAGGGTCGAAAACTTATAGCTTTACCTGACAAAAAGCCTTCACAATTGATCCTGCTAGAATCATTGAAAGAAATGACTGAACTGTTGTTTCTCTAGATTACTATTGGTTATTTGTTGCAGAACTATGTGATCTTTGTTATCAATGTTGTTTGACTGTAATTGCTAGCTGCAATCATATCTTTTGGAAATACAAATCATGTTATGGATTTGGGATCTAAATTTTTCGTGAATGTCAGTCACTCGAAACCCGCTCACATTTTTGGAATGGAAGCCATCAGAGGTCGTGGCCAATTTCTCTTGCTTGTGCTCTCGTAATAATGTCCGAGTTTGATCTCCTATTTCCTTTTCTTTTGAGCCACACGGCCTTCACCCACTTTGAGTTGGCTTAGTAGTTAATAAGAGTCGTGAATATAAAGGGTTTAGAGAGAATGAAATCAGGTCATAGCAACCATCTGTAACCACTTATCTAAGATTGAATTATCTTATGAGTTTTCATAGCAACTAGATATAGTAGGGTCATACAATTTTCTCGTTAGAATAGTCAAAGTGCGTAAAGGGTTTAGAGAGAATGAGCTCAAGTTATAGTAACCATCAGTAACCATCAGTAACCACCTATCTAAGTTGATGTTGCTATATCAACTAAATGTAGTAGGGTCAGACTGTTTTCTCGTTAGAATGGTCAAAGTACGTGCAAGTTGACCCAAACTCACACAGCCGTCCTCCTCAGTTCATGCATATCTATACATGCCAAGGGAGGGTATCATATTCTTTGCTTTAGCATGCTTTTCAAAAGCTAGATGTCGATAACTAAGCGAAACTAAGCAAAATCATGCATTTGATTATGTTCAAATTATTAGAGCGTTAGCTTTTGTGGCATCATAATTGATCAACCAAGGCAGAGTCTCTTTTCTTGCTTTTATGATTCCTCTCTCATGTTCATATTCAAAACTTGAGTTCTCAAACTTGAATAGTTTGAATGTAAATTGGACATTAATGTTTGTTTTTTTTAAGAACCTGAGTTCCTTCCTGTTGTAAAGATTGGGAAGAAGACTTTTTAAGATTTGTTGTTTTCTCATGTGAGCTTATTATGATGATCATATAGGATTTTTCTTCTGGTTGACTGTCTGTTTTGTCTGCATGAATGTTGCTGAGTTTTACGTTAACTTGGTCTGGATCTTACTTTGCTTTTAAACTTTTGCTGCCACTATTTATGTTTACTCGGATGGAATTATCTGGATAGTCCCTGAACTTTGAGGTTTATGTGTGTTAAGTCCCTAAACTTTCAAAATCACTAGTTTTATTAGACATGAATTCAAATTTATATTTGAAAATTAAAATTTTTGGATTTGTTAGAGACCTACCGGACATAAAATTGAAAGTTTAGAGATTTCTTAAACATATTTGTAAACAACAAAAAGTTTTGATATTTTTTAAAATACATTATATTTATGTTGGTGTTTTGAATATCAACATTTCAATTGGTTTAGAACTAAACTCTCTCAATTAAACATTTTTGAATAAGAAAAATAATGAATTTTCATGATGTTGACCGAACCCGACTTTTTTCTGAAAATAAACAAAAAAAAAAAAATTAATTAGATGTGCAAAAGTAGCCTGCTTGGCTTCTCATTATATCTTAAGGTCATTCTTAAACCTTAATTAAAATAATTAACATCTAAACATTTTCATTAGTGTCTTGTCCCTCATAATAAATGCTAATCAAATCCATCAATCAATTAATCTAATTGGTTTCTTACCGTCCAATTGACAAAGTCTAATTAATGTAAAAATAAATAAAAATTAAAAATTTTTGTAAATAAATTTAGCTAAATTAATAAAAATATTTTTACAAGTTTAACTTTAAAAATTTTTAAATTTAATTAATATCCCTTTTAAGGGTATTTTTTTACTTTTCAAAAAATATTAAAATGAAACTATATTAAAAGTTTATTAATACTGAAACAAAATATTAATAATTTTTCTCTTATAATGTTTTTTATTTTTATTTTTTTAAAGTTTAAAGATATTATTAAAATGTTTATAAGTTAGGAATAATTTTTTTTTGGTACAAAATAATCTAATTTTTCAACTTATTTTCTATTATTCAATTATTACTTAAGTAATAGATTTATTTTGTTGATTGTGTTGAGTAAAATTTTCCTACCAACTCTCCACTTAATTTCAAATTTCATACTTTATTATGATATAAGTGCAAACAAATTTATATTCCATATATTTATTCAATAAATGCATACATCTGAATAAAGTGAAACCAACAACATTTATTGCAAAAGGAAATAATTAAATTGAAAGATTTAAAAAAAAAAATTATTATTCCTATCATATTAAATCTATATGATAAAAAATATTTTCATTCCAATTTTGCACCAAATTAAATCTATATAATAATGAAAATCTTTACTTTAATTAAATAGAAAAATAAGAAAATCCTTTAAAAAACTACATATATTATATCATAATAAATGCTCGAAATATTGCATGGCTTTTCAAAGTTGTTTTGAGAAAAGATATCAAATCTATGAATTTATTACCAAAATAATAATATTAATATTAATTAATTTATCGCTAAATAGACATATAATCTAAAAGATATATAAATTTAAATTAAAAATTAACGAGTAATTTAACCCAATAATTAAGATATAATCTAATATTAATAATAAATAACAACAATAATGTGATTGGAGTTAGAGTTTAAGAGACAAGTCAAGGAAATTGGTTTGACCTTGATCTTGTTTGGTCTGAGAATGAACAATATTATCATGATTAATATTCTCATTACCGGCGTTTGAGCCTCCAATCGCCGGCCATCTAGCCACGTCATCATACCTCCCAAAATTCCGGCCACCAATCGTCGTAGTCAGCCGCTCCACCGCCGGCTGCTGACCCATAAACACTGGCCTCGGCCACAATGGAGGAGAGGAAGTAGGCCCACCAAAAAAGCCCAGAGGCTTCTGAATTTGCTGAGCGTGCGCGTGAATTCCCAACGATCGTCCGTGAAACGCGCCGCCGTGAAGCGGAATTGCGGCCGCCACCCAATGGAATCTTTGAACTCGTTTGGCTAAAGTCCTCTCTCGTTTGTGGGCATTTTGATGGCCACCCAAAGCTTGGGAGCTGAAGAATTTTCTGTGGCAATAATTGCATGAGAAAATTCTGGGCTTTGTTGTTGAGAGGTGAAGATCCAGAACGGTGCGCCGGTCGTCGGAAAGTTCGCCGGTTTCCTCGTCGCCGTCTTCCTCGACGTCCTCGAAAAGTGGGGTTTTGTCGGCTTGGAGTTCCATGTTGAAAGGGGAGAGGTTTGTTTTTTTTTTTTGTAAATGGATTGAGAAAATGGATAGGGTTTGGATTATTTTTTAAGGGAAATTTAAACTAATTTTTTTTTCTAAGTTTTTAGGGTTCGAGAAACTTCAATTTAGTCGATCTCACTCTTCGACACGGTACAAGATTTAGATAAATGTCTTCCATAAACAGAACTACGTAGTCCCGAACGAAAGGAATACGAGGATTATACTATTTAATTAATTATTTTTCCACACTCATTGATGCTAAGTTTACAAAATGTCAACATTCATTTATTACGAGTAAATGTTTATAGATTTTAGTCAAACAAAAACTATGTCCTTCCGCTCTTAAGGGCACCACGTCCTCTTTTTGACTCTATATCTATCTATCTTTTATTTTTGTGGTAGAGACTAGAGAAGTCTTTCTTTTGAGATTTCTGATCAATGTCGTTTACTTTCTTTCTTCCTAAAAAAAATATAAATAAATAAATAAATAAATTTACAGTTAACTTGAGTATAGTTCAATCGATTTAGACATAAATAACCATTCATTGAGTTTAAAATTGTCTAAAAATTCAAATAAAAAGGCTCCTCTTCCTTTCAAAGAATTTGTGGTGTTTTTTAAAAGTATTTGTTGAATTTCAAAATATTTTTTATTATCTAAATTAAACCATAAAAAAAATGTAAAAAAGTATTTTTTTTTTTAATAAATCCTATAATTTTATATCCAAATTATAAATAATTAAAAATTTTACATAAGATATTGTACTAAACAAATATTTAAATAATTAATTTCTAAAAAGAAATTCTCTGTCTTCCATTTATTAAGGTATCTAGATTTATAAATTAATAATAATAATATTTTTGAAATTCAAACCTATCATTTACTTTATTTATTATATTGAAACTAAATCTATTTTTTTAATCTTATTTTATTTAATATTGGACTTGGTCATTTGAAAATAAAATATCTTTTATTTCAAAATTTTCTACTCTATTTCGAGTTTTATGGAAATTAATTTAATATCCATATATAAAAAACTATTATTATATTGCAAGAAACTAATTCAACTCTATTTTGTTTAATTTTTTTATTTAATAAAACCATCTGTGACAACTAGTATTTTAAATTATTTTTTTATTATCCCACTTGATTTCAATCTATAACGAAATAATATAATATAATATAATATTTTACGAATTATATTAAAAAAATATGAGTTTTTTTTTTTTTTTTTTTTTTTTTGAAATAAAA